GGGCACTTATCATGAGGGGAATTTTATTACAAAAGAAAGGGCACTTGTTAAAATGGGCACCTGTCAGACTTGATTAGGGGCAATTATCATAGGTAAAGGAGGTACTTATCAGAGGTGGTAAGAGGCACTTATAAGAATGTGGAACAGGCACCTATTAGAATTAAAAAGGGGCACTTATCTGAAGTAAAAGGGGTCACCTTTCCTATGTAAAAAGGGGCACTTTAGTGCACTGTGCCCTCTGTCTCCCTGCTCTGCCGCCTCTGCAGCTTCCACTACTACTTCTGATGATTATAATGAAAACAATAATGATAATGAAAAAATAATTATAATAATGATAGTAATAATAATATTATCATTAATCATAATGATAATAATTATGATAATAATGATAATGATAATGATAACAATAATAATGATAATAATGATAACGATATCAAAATCATTCATCAAAATCATAATGATATTATTGATAAATCTAATGATAATATATAATAATGATAATATAGGTTTTCCCACCCAATTTCTTCAACGATGCAGCCCTGATGAACGTTTAGGTATTCAAATTCACGAATAGGCAAGCATTTATGGCACTTGGGCAGTCTTAAAAAAAAACTGTTTAAGATCTTTGTTATCTGCATCTGTTTGAATAAGTTATGCAAACTTTACGTACCTTGAAATGGGACATTTGCCTTATATTGAAATATCTCATTCCTCTGACAAACCGTCATCGAAGCAAAAGCAAAAAAAATGTTGAGTTATAACCATTCTGAAGTGTTATATCTATTCAGCTAGGGAATAAAGTGAAACTGGAAGAGAAGATTAGAAAGAAAAGGAATATACAAAATATGATTAAAATAAACATTATGAAACTTAAAAAATTCAAAAGAAATTATATGATTAAAAACAGTGAAAAAAGGTATATATGACGTGAAATAATTGCGGTCAGAATAGAACTACAGAACGTGATTATGTTAATTTAATTCGAACAGTAGTGCGAAGGTGTGTGCCTATAAATGAAACTGAAATTTGTATTGAGGACGAAATTGAACGAAATGACAACTTCGTGTCAATAAATTGAATGAATTTCTCTCTAAACTGAATGAAATAAAATTTAAAAGGAATGATATAAAACGTATTTGAATGCTTAAAGAATGAAAATGAAACATGAGGGCATAGAGTTGACGACAATCGTTTGAAATTGAACGCCTATTCATGAATTCGAATGCAACTCTGATGAAATTGGGCGGAAAAAATATAGTAATGATAACAGTAATGATAATAATTAAACAAATAATGATAGTTAAACTTGGCTATCCATCTGTTGTTTGTTAGTTTTGGGGTGGTTTTCTTCTTTCTTTTCATATTTTCATTTATGTTGGCATTAATATTTTGATTGTATATGAGTAAATAAATTTCAAACAAATCAATCAAATCAAACTAGAGACAACCAAGACACGCTAAAATGAAAGTAAGCATTAGTCTTCCAGAGTCAGTCAAGATATGACAAAGACTACGAAAGGGAAGGAGAAAGGAAAGAAAAATTTATCTGGTTTTGAGGAATAAGTTTGTGAATTGTCAAAATTGTACTCAGAAATATATTAAGAAACTAATTGACGTTTGGAACAAAAAAAAAAACGGGGCAAACAATTTCGGGTTTGCTCCGCAATCTATATCACTTTTATTTGGCATATAATTACATTTTCTGTTATTTTATTTCAAAATGTATGGTATTCGAAATAGTTTATTTGGTTAATAATGTTCTTTGGTTTATTCATTCATTATTCTAAAATAGCTAAAGTGTGTCAATGATGATTTTTAAAAACATTATCTAATTTCATTATTATGTTTACAAATTCTGATGATTGTTATCTACAGTCAAAATGTGCAAAATAATAATGTTATATGATTACAGCATTCTTTTGGGACAACAAAACCAGAAATCAACTTGAAAGAAGACCATCCTGTCGGGATAAAACCGAAATAAATGAATCATGATCACTTCAGCGTCTGTTCTCTACCGGTTTGTTACGTCAGGGCGATGAGACTCACCTCCCTGATTACATGCAGATCTTACACATTCAATCACACTTTGAACTAGTGCTCTTTTAAATTCCTTTTTAACAGAAACCTTTCTATTTTCGAGTGGTGCTCTTTGTCAGTATAGAGGATCATTAAAATGATAAAATGATACTGATTACTGATACATTTCTTGCTCCAGTCGTAAATTTATCATCATTTAATTGTATTAGAACATCGAATGAAACTGAACCACATATGGCAGATTTTTATAGCCTATAACGATACCTTGTTACACTTCAAACTTCATCAGCAGTTCAATTAAAATCAGAGAAAAACAGTAATCGACTGAAAACAACTAGCAATGCGTCATTCCCTGATTATCACCGAGATGATGATTTACTAGACTTTCGTGATTTGACTTGAAAGAAAGAATTTAACACGGAGTATGTTCACTCCAGCATTCATCCCATGTTGAAAAAGTGTGTACCTGGAAAGAATATCATTATGGTGTTTCTTTTTTGATGAAAAAATATACATAATGTGTCTTTTAGTTTCATTTATAAATACTTGTTAGATCATTTATAAACAAGTGAAAATGTCAACAGCGAAAGATGGTACAACTATTCTATTATCTAAATTACGTCTAAATTAGTTATGAGAGTGCGCATAAAAATGATTAACTATGAGATTGGAAATTTCACAAAATTATACATAATGTGCTTTTTAGTTTCATTTATACATACTTGTTGGGTCATTTATAAACATATAAGTTTCAACAGTGAAAGATGATACAACTGTTCTATTATCCAATTTACGTCTGACTTAGTTTTGAGAGGGCACATGGTATGATTAAATGTGTGATTGGAAATGTCAACAAATTAACAAACTGTACCAGCAACATAAAACAAACAAAAGCTGTAACCATGAAAATAGTTAGCCCTAGCGTGAAACCCACCTCCTGATTTACCTTGACAGCTCCTTCCTACATGTATATTACTAATTTATTTTAAATGATAGATAGTAGTTTCACTTCAGTCAGGCTTTAGAATTGCGCTGATATCAAACTACATCCGCTGATGTAAAATAGGCAATCTCAAAGATTATTCGTCATTCGAGTAAGTTTCACGCGATAGATCTGTATCGACACTGAGACCCACTGAGACTTTGCTGATCCGTCGTTGTTTCTTCGTATAGATATCGAAAAATAAGTGATTTGTATCGAAAAGTAAGTAATTTGTTTCATTTCTTTCTTTAAACATTGCTCACTTTACTTCGTCCCGGTCAAAGTCATCATTCAGCAATCAATCCATAAACAATTGTTAAGCGCTCTTCATGAATAGTTGTAACCGTTTCCGCTAGCTTAACAAATTAAGTTAGGTAAATTTTGATTTAAATGTTTATTGTTATCATTATCGATTCACCTTTTGGTTTGTCTGAGAATTTTGGGGTAAATTCTGTTGGTCCCTGAAACCCTTTCCTTTTTGCTTGTACTTCACAATCCAACCGGAGAATCCTGAATCCGCCTTTGTTATTTTTTTTTCAGACGCAAAAGGATATACTTCAAGTTAGTCATCATTTAAATATTGGTTCACTTCGTTCTATCGGGTCTTTGAGTCGGGTCGGGTTGGGTTGTCGTGTTACACTATCTTTCATGAAAACATGCTCCTATATTCACGAAAAGTCTGATAAAATGAACGCAAATAATCACATATTTGTATAGATGGTCCTGGCTGAAGTCAAGTTAATATTTTACTTGCACATTTGTGGAAACAATAAATGACAAATCATTAATTATTGTGATTATTTATCTCGTATAAAAAGTATCGGGTCGATGCGCGAGTTTTTCGTAGATTTGGTTTATGTTTTTTTTAGAAACTGTCAGGTAAGCTGGATCCGAGACCTTGGCGATAAGAGGGGTGTACTTCACAGACGTCAAGAACAGGGAGCAAAACAGCTTTTTTTCAAGAAAAATAGTTATAGGGAACTGATGATTTACTTACCTCTCCAACTAATTACATTTCGCCCATTATGTCGCTGTGAACAATGTACTGTACGAAAAAACCAAGCAATATTTCGAAATAAAATAAAATCTATGAACATTATTTACTTAACATGTAAAACCTGTCCTTGTGGGTTTCTACTTAAGAAACTGAAGATAATAAATTACTTTTGTCATGTTTGTGTAAAGGACATTATACTTATTGTTTTACGTTCCCATTAATTTTGTGAAAAGAATCAAAGGTAATTTGAGAGCTTGCCACAAAAAATTCAGGAAAACAGGTTAACAATATATTATCATGGATGCTGTTTAATGCGCTTTCTCTGTAAAATTTCTATTTTCATACGGAAATTTCCTGCGTAAACGAACCAACAAGAACCTAACAAATGTACAAGAAATTAAGGGATGAACTAACAAATTATAATTGAGAATAGTTAAGATTGTATCCTTATCAAAGGTTTGAAGTAATTTTAAATATACCTCAATAGAATCAATGTTGAAGCGGCCGAACGTGTATTTTACATACCAATCGTTAGTTTATTTTTTATGTTTTTTTGTCTTCCTTTGATTTTTTTTGATAACCAAGATTTGAAGATAGAAGTATGTAGTGTAATGATAATTATATCGACAAAGTGAGCTTAGGGTTAGGGTAGGGCTAGTGTCATGTTTTGTGGTATTCGAATAAGATAATGTGTCGGGACAAGACTGAAATATCTGACTGTATGTTGCTTTCAGTAGAGAATTAGTCTAATTTGAAGTCGAGTGACGGGTATTGCAACGTATGTTTTACTATCTTTTCTTTCAGTTCCTGTCAAATAATATGGCTCGTACAAGATTAATCCAGCTGTCGGCTGTACTGTTCCTTACCATTTTGGTTGCAACGGTATTATCATTCCAGGAGGCCAAGCTAAATCATCAAGGATTGACGCCACGCACTAAATGTAACCTAGGCCCTTTCGAGAGAAATATCTCCTGTGCCAAAATGGGACTCATTGATGTTCCTCAGGACTTATTTCCAGGCGTTGAGGAACTGGACCTCTCATTAAATCCTATCGAATATCTTTATAATGTGTCCTTTATACCATATCAAAATATTAGGAAACTGTCGCTGTACTATAATGATTTAAAAGAGATAGCTCCTGCAGCTTTTCATTCTATGCCAGAGTTGCAGTACTTAAACCTCGGAGCTAATAAGTTTTTGGACGCTATCACATCAGAAATGTTTCGACTTTGCAAAAAATTGTCTCATCTTAGTTTTACCGGTACTTCCTTATTAAGAATGTTCCCTAGTGACACCTTACGATGGCTCCCATCATTGCAGATGCTAGATCTAAGCTACACTGGTCTTAGATACATCAATATTACTTCTTGTAATTCAGCAATTCATAACCTGACTATCGACCTGCGTGGCAATAAATTTGAAGCGCTTATACCTACCACATTCAATATCGACTGTCAGCTAGATTTTCTCAATCTCAACCGATGTCGAGCCTTCATCTTTCTTCTTGACCCGGACACTATTGCAGCCATACGCACAAGATCTCTCTCCTTAGGTCATAACAACCTTGCGCCAGAGATTTGGCAACTGTTTTTCACAGGCATTGGGAGCTCGGAGATCGAGGAGCTTCGTTTAAGGAACACGAATGTAGAGGATGTCTATCCTGAATATTTTGCACTTTTGGGAGGCAAGCGGCTAAGGGTTCTCGATCTTAGTAATAACGACTTGTCTGATCTTGCCCAAATGGGATTTTTAACTTTACCATTCATTTCTACACTTGTTTTAGATAGGTGTGAGATTACTCATATAGATCCCACATATTTTTCAAGAATGAAAGGACTACGTGTTCTTCGGCTCAATTTCAATAACATCTATAAAATCGGCCAAGATGACAGCAATTCTGCATGGGACATAGACTTACAAGAATTGTATCTGGTTTCCAATTCCATTGAGATTATACACGAAACAGCATTTAAGGGCTTAACAAATTTAACGAAATTGGTCTTGAGGGGTAATAAAGATTTATCAGATGTTTGGATAAGTGCAGTCACAGGTTTGAATAACCTTCGCTACTTAGATTTGTCGGGGTGTTTACTCACTACAATAATGCTACATGCCCCTAATCTTGAAACTTTTGTCTATAGCAATTGCAAACGCCTCGATTACATGAGCCAAATCGGTGAAGTATTCTCTCAGACTAAGTCAATTAAACACGTGTTCTTGGGAAATTCTAGTATAACTTCGTTTTGGACTCCATACACAAGTAATAACATATCATTGTTTCAGGGAATGCGAAATCTTATAAGCCTTGATGTAAAGATGAATCAAATTGATCTATTGCAGGCTGGTTTATTCGTAGATCTCGTCTACCTAATCCAAATAGATCTAAGCAACTGTCAAATCAAAGTGATTGAAGCGAATGCTTTCGAAGGCCTTCAACGTTTACATACTTTGTTCGTCCAGGGTAATCGCTTTCAATATCTTCCACCTGAAGTTCTGAAGAATGTCGGGCAGTTACAAAACATTAACTTGGAAGACAATCAAATCAGGTATCTTGATAGAGACCTATTTGTGAATAAATCAAAACTGAAATATCTAACTCTCGCTGACAACAGGTTGACTTTAGTCAACCAAAGTACGTTTCAACCGATCCTCAATACTCTAAGTTTCATTGACATTTCGAACAATGAGTTGGGCTGTACCTGTGAGTTAAAATGGCTCCCCATATGGCTGGCTGGTCCTATCACAGTTATGAACGAAAACTACACCAGGTGTTCTTCCTCATCATTCGAGAAACTACGTGAAAAGCCACTGATGTCATTTAAACCAGGAGAATTATGTGGCCCAAACATCGCTCTCTATTGTTCACTTCCTATTGTAACCACATGGATTATCATAGTTTTGGTCTTTGCCTACCGTCACCGATGGTTCTTGAAATATAAACTATTCCTCCTGAAAATGGCAGTCATTGGCTATCGGGAGATCCGAGATGCTCGAGATTTTGACGATTACGAATTTCATGTCAACATTATGTTTGCCGAGGAGGACGAAGAGTGGGTCAGAGATCGCTTCCGTCCAGTCTTAGAAGAACTGCTTCCGGAATACGAGAGGAAGCTCTATGGTGATGATGACCTTCCGTTGGGTATGCATTACTATGATGCAGTGCATTACGTCGTTGAGAAGAGCTACAAGACCATCGTGTTGGTCAGTAGGGCTGCTATCCAGGATAACTGGTTCATCATCAAGTTTCGAACCGCTGCGGATCAGGTCAATGACACACAAATAGAGAACATGGTGGTGATCTTCCTGGAGGATATTCCAGATGATGAGCTTCCATTCTTGGTGAGGCTGTACCTGAGTGATCGTAAGCCATACCTCAGCTGGGAGGAGGAGGAGGGGTTTCATGAGTACTTCTGGCAAAAACTTACCAAGATGTTGAAGATAAATCTGAGATGCAACAATGTCATCCCTCCCGAGTAACAGCATTAAAATACAGTTGTCAAAACACATTTCTTTATAACATAGGAGATAGTTTTCTTTTCCGAAATGAAAATGAGTATTACACGGCTTCGGTCTACATACTCCAAAACCGTATCGTCAATGTCGCCTCCACAGAGTTTTGTCTTAAGAGACGGTACCGTGGCACCGTAAGGACAGCCAGGAGAATCCAGTGGTTTGAAATTCATTGAGAGTGTGTAGTGTGTTCGGAAGAATGCACCATATAATGTTCTTTTAAAAATACCGTTTTTTTTCGAAAAATCGTGATTCTTCTAATCCTAGTTTCTGAATAGCTGCCTCTAGCACTATGAAAACGATGCATTATGACACACCGTATTGCCGCCGCGTTCAAGCAATCAATACACATTAATGTCAAATTCTTCTAACATGCCAGCACTTAGAGACATGAAATTGCAGAATCGCATGATCTGAAGGTTTTAAAAAAAAGTACTTTCAAGAATTTTAGTATTTTGTGCATCGGTTAGAGAAGTATCTATGGCATTTTTAACACCAAATACCACTCTGTATTTATGTGCATTCAATTGATCATGTTTTTTTAAAATCGATTTAGAAGATATTATTGCAGTACATTACGCTGTATGAACATCATTGTAATGATGAATATGTAATCATGTAACAGCCATGTAGCGAATCGTGTATTGTAATTATGTAATCACTTTGTAATAATCATGTAATACACAATACATGTAATAATGATCTTCAATATCAGGTAAATCCATTAAGTCAGTCATGTACGTAACATTCGTTCCATGTTTGTATCTACTCATTGCATACTGAGTTTATCGGATTTGATTATGAGACAACGTGAAAGTGTCAGTGAATGTGTAAATAGTTGTCTGTAAATGATGCACTGTAAAATTGAGTCGAAATTTAAAGGTAAGCATTGACATTCCCAATCTCTTTCGTTCTTTATGGGTTATTAATTGAATGTTAATATTCCAAGAATATAATATAGTCGTCATAACCATACGGGGATTATTTATAATTTGTCAGCATCCTAGTGTATGATTTTATATCTGATCGTATATATCTGATTGTGATATAAGTAATAATATAAAAGTAAGTTGTACATGATACATGATGTCACTACATGACAGTTATGAATACCACCATATTTCTTCAATCATTTCGTTTATATCCATGTTAACGTCATTATATCCGTTCTATTTTCATACGGAGGACTGATTTAATTGGACATGTTATATCATATTTTGATGATTAAATGAAGCCATGAAGTATTTTTTCTTCAGTTATTCTACAACTCTACTGACATAGGAAAATGAGATATATCATCAATGTTTGTCTATAATCAAGTACGTTATACTTTTGTAAACATATTGGTTCATGTAAACACAATATTCACTAACCTAATTATTGATATAATAATGTCTTACACAGCTTTTAAATGCACAGAGGATTGCTAACATTGAAAACTCTGTTTATTTGTATTGTGCTATGCTCTACAAAAAAGCGAATTTTATTCCTTGTAGTTTGTGCACTCGTTTTTATCATCGATTGAATATCGCATATTGATGTAATTATGATGATAATTAAAAAAATTATAACCCTTTGGATAAATCAAAACGAGTTGTCATTTGGTAAAACGCTATTGTTTTAATGTTTCTATAGTTAATGGTGAGGATGGAGATGATAATGATGATGATGAAAATAATAATAACAATAATGGTAACAATAGGGATAACAATAATCGTGATGATGATGATGATAATTCAGCCTGGTCTCCTTCTTAAAACGATGAAAATATCATAATTTGTCACCATTGACCTTAAAACGATGATATTCGTCGTGTTTAGACACAAAGAATAATCGAGTCTACCCTGGCATTTGCAGTTCACCCCAACTCTAACCCTAACCCTAACCAGAGGCGGATCCAGGGGGGGGGGGGACAGGGGGCACGTGCCCCCCCCCCCCGGCCAAAAAAGTATTGAAATCAGCCCCAAATTCGCCAAAAATGTACTGACAAACAGGGACGTGCCCCCCCGGCCCCCAAAAGAGAAAACAATAGAAAACACCCCCCCCCCCAACTGAATTTGCGGCCGGTGTGATTTTCAAATATTCGAGAGCAAACAAAAATAAAAAGATGTGCTCCAATACTAATGATTAATACATAAATTGAGAAAGTTTGGCACAAGTCCACGTTGCAATGGAATACAAGTATCATATATAATCAATCACTGGAAATTAAAACAGTTTAGAAACCTTCTACATTGTTATCTTATTTTCTTGTTAATAGACCCATTACGAGCTTATAACGGTCATGATCAACATAATTATTAAAAAAAACATGTTCTCCATGATAGTCCTGATTATATGACATGCCAGGTTTTAAAATTAGGTTACACAAAATAATTCAGACATATCGATTATGCAGTAAACATACGGGGGTGTGCCGCTCCAATGGGTCACTTTTTTATTAAAAAATCCCTTAAAATGGTTCCCATATATTAAAAAAATATACCTAAACATGGGTCCGTTCTTTCAAAATTTGGAAAAATGGGCTTTACCTCGAGAAAAAACTCCAAATTACCATTCAAAATGGCTAGGGGTTTCGCGCCTTGAGTAGCAAACCCTTTTCCAACCCCCCCCCCCACACATACACACATACCCGCACACACTCACACACACACACACACACACACGCACGCACACACGCACACACACCAATCACTAGCCTTGAGTTTTACACCCATATCCTAAATCTAAATTCCTATAATCATCTTTCTATAATCAAGTTTAAATCAAAGCAAATTTGAAAGTTTCGTACTACAGTGCGTCCCAGAAAAAACGAAAAAAACGAAACCGAGAACTATCGATGTTTTATCATAACTTAATCACAATTATAATTAATAAATGACACATATTTGGAAAGCTTAGATCCTCTTCTTTCATTTGATGCAACTCATATGATGCATATTTCATATGACGCATGAGTGATTAAAATCAATTTGAAGAGAGGAAACCGAAAAGTCGTTTGGCGGGCGGTATTTGAATTTCAAAGAGAAAATCACATTTCTAGAAAGTTGAGATTATGCCCTTTCATATGACACCTCAATCAGGAAAAATGAGCAAGGAATAACAAAGTTCTGTAACATACATGACCAAAGATTGGCAGGAATCCATCAATCGGTTCTTGAGATAACGCGATCACGAGCTGTTTTTGCATACATAATGAGCCCCGTGACCTTTGACCTTTGACCTCGTGACCCCAAAATCTACTCAGTTCATCGGCTCTGCAAGATACATACATGACCAAAGTTTGGCAGGAATCCATCAGTCGGTTCTTCAGATAACGCGATCACGAGAACGGGACGTACGGACGGACGGACAACCCGAAAACATAATGCCTCTGGCTACTTCGTAACGGAGGCATAATGAGCTGCAAAGGGTACATGAGCATTTTCTACATCAATAACCCACTTCTTGTGATGGCCAAAATTTAACTGATTGAAACCTTGCCCAGCATAAAACGTATGACCATTCAGTACAATGGTCTAAAAATCAAGACTATTACTTATTGGCTCTATAGCTCCGAAGTCTATTTGACAAATAAAAGTCGTTATTTTCCCACTTGAAGACATTTTCGAGTCCCACCTTTTTTAGGGAAGTTCTAAATTAGTAATATCTTTCAAATGCCGTTGGAATTTAACCTTTTCATTTTTTTGGCCTGTAAATGGGACATAGTACCTTTAAGGGGTTAATTATATATGAAATGAAAAGATAATGATCATATTGGTGATGACAACGATGGTGCTGCCGCTGATTATGATAATAATCATGATAATATTAATAAGAACAACAAAATCAACAACAATAACAATAATAACAACTGCATGTAACTATGTAGACATGTTTATCCATCCCGAGTAATGCTCAATGTGCCTAGAACGTACTACTACTACTATCAACCTGGCTTTAGTCCACCTGTCCATAGGTGCAAACATGGATTTAAGGAATAACAATCCGATGATCTATCGATTTGACCACAACACCAAATATGCTAGGATAGATATCGAGAGAGAGGTTGAGGGGCGGTAGAAAATGAACCAGTTACGATAATGGCCACACTAATCTTGTTGATCTTGACAGAGCTAGAACTCAAAATCTACGATGAAAACTGTCGCTGCTAGGAAAAATAAAAAGTAAATAGTAAGGTAATTTAAATAAAGGTTGGGGCATCACAATTTGCCCCCAAAAGTCAACTTCAGGAAAGAAAAGATCACACTTTCACGCTAATCTTTCCGGTATCTGGCAATGTATTAACGGAGCTCTTGGAAATGTGACGAAAATTTTTCGGTTGGAGTCATTCAAAATCGTATACGCGGGAATAAAAGTTTAAAAAAATACTTGCCCGATGATGAGCATTTGACTGGCTAATAAATACAAATACCATAAGGTTGGTAATGGTATCTGCCAGTATGATGTTCACTTGAAATATGTTATGCTGTTTCCAGAGTTTTCTGTTGAATAGGAACATCGCCAAAGTTATGGATGTTAGCACCAGAGCAATGCCGGTTACGACGAGGCTCACAGTAAAAGAGACATCCAGGTTCTTGGTATCGGCGGCGGTGTAGTTTGTCCTCATGTTAGCCATCACAGAAGATGATTGTGGATGGTAAATAATAGTGTGCCGTTCTTGTATATCACGTTATGATATACCCTTTCTAAGCGCTTCCCAAAGACTTTGGATATTATATTACCACAGGTCCACAGCTATAGCTGCGGCAACTGAAGCGCTCAGTGCATTCAAGGAATGAACCCTGCCAGGTACCCACTTACAACACCTGGGTCGAGTGTGGCAAATGTGGCAAAAGGGATTCCAACGCTGGGGTTCACAGTCCAACACAACACCTCTGCCTCTGTGGATTCGTTGAGGTGCTTCGCATCTCAAGTTGGAAGAAACTGACAGTTATATCACAATCAATTTCTGTTCTCAATCATTTTGGGGAGGCGACAATTCGATGAGCAGAAAAATTAAGT